TTTTTTTTTTTTTTTTTTTTTTTTTTTTTTTTTTTTTTTTTTTTTTTTTTTTTTTTTTTTTTTTTTTTTTTTTTTTTTTTTTTTTGGAAACTCTCATTATTCTCATTATTATTATTACTATTATTATTATTATTATTAACTCGTTTTTGGGGGACGTTTCTTACCTCTTCGTTGTTTGTTGTGTTTGTTTTTGTTTTTTTTTTAATTTTATTTTTCCTGGTGGTTTTTGATGATGGTGGTGGCGGGGGTGGGTTGTTTTGGTTTGTTTTTTTGGTTTTTTTTTTGTTTTTTTTTCCCCCCCTTTTCCTTAGATCATCAAGCAAAGAAGATGAAAACTGGAGAGAAGGGCTTTGGCTTAGTGGCCTACGCCGGAGACTCGTCGGACGAAGAGGAGGAACACGGTGGCCATAAAAACGCAAGTACTTTTTCACAGGGCTGGAGTTTGGGGTACCAATACCCCTCCTCCCAACAGAGAGCCAAGCAACAGATGCCCTTCTGGATGGCTCCCTAAAAAGCTGCACAAGAGTTTTGGTGGTTTTTTTTTTGGTTTTTTTTTTTGGTTTTTTTGGCATCCATCTGTTTTTTTTTTTTCCCCTCCATCCCCACTTCCCTCTAGCAATAATTGCATGGATATTCCAGAAAGGACTGGGGAAAAAAAAAAAAAAAAAAAAAAAGAGACAACCTGGTTTTTACATTTGAAGAAGAAGCCAATTTTCTTCCTCCCCACCACTTTGGAAGGGCTCCGTTGTTTTTAAAAATCCTTATTTTTGGCAGCGTGTTTTTTTGCCAATTGACAAGAGAAGATCTGGAGTGGAGTGCTCCCTTTTCCACAGGGGAGAGGTAAAGAGGATCCAGGGAAGCCTGTCGGTCCAGCGTGTCCCTGTTTTTCCAAGATAACTCAAAGGGAAGAGTCAGTGCCCCCCTGACTTCACCCCACACCCGGCGTTGGCATTTTTGTTGAGCGCTCCTGCTGCCCCGGCTTCGATGTGGGACTTGTCACCGGAGGGAAGGAACACCCAGGAGCTGTGGAAAAACTCAACATTTCTTCTGAAAAACTCTCCATTTTTATTTCGGGCACCTCCTGTAACTCAGCACTGTTGGGGTTTTTTTTTTTTTTTTCTTGGAAGAGTGGTTTTTCTGACCCCCACAGTTCTGGGGGGGACAACGCTCAGGTTTTTGGATGGACGGGCTCATCTTGCCCCAGGGTGGACTTGGCACTGGAGCTCACCCTGGACCTCACCCCCACCCAGCAGCTGGACAGAATTCCTCCTCCTGAGCTTCATCTCTCCCCTCACCCCCTCGATTCCAGAAGGTTTCCAACGAGGGGTTTCCCAAAGAGGAGGGTGGGGTTGGAAGGGGAGGGCAGCACTTGAGTCCAGCAGCTCCTGGAAGCTGGGAAGGAAGCGGTTGGATTGCGTGTACGGACACGAACTGCCCCTCGGGGGCTTTTCTCAGCAGGGTGGGGGGCACCCAGTGCAGCCACCCCCTCTGGGTGACACTCCCAGGGACACCGGCACCGCTCCAGGGGTGCTGGGCGGCCTTGGGAACACGGGAGCTGTGGATTTTAAGGATCTGTGGTGTCGCCGCTGCACCCCCGGGGCGGGGCTCACCCCCCCACCCCGCCAAACCTCGGCTTTCCTTTTGTGGTGTAAATAATTGAGAACTGTACTTTCATTATAAATAAATGTATAAATATTCGGCTTCCTTGGGAGGGGGTTGTGTGGGGGTGTTCAGGTGAGGTTTGGAGACTGTGGGGCTGAGGGAGGGGAGCTTGGGGACTGAGGGGGGGGTCTCTGAGGCCCAGGGGTGACCCCCAGGGCTGAGGGGGGGAAGGCCTTGGTGAGGGGGATCCCATAACTGGGGGATGGCCCAGGGTGGGACTGGGGAGGGTTTGAGAGGCTGGAGGGAGCTGAGGGTAATGGGGCTGTGGGGGAACCCGGGTCTAGGAGGAGGTTTGGGGGTCTGGAGCTGCAGGGCTGGGAGGAGGGCCCGGTCTGGGGAAGGGGGATAAGGCTGTGGTGGGGGGTGTTGGGGTTGTGGGGCAGGGGGTCGACCCCCTGGGCTGTGAGGGGGGTTTTGGGGGAGCCCAGGGGTGGAAGAGGGGTCCGGGATGCCAAAGTGGGGCTGAGAGGGGGGTCTCGGGGCTGGGGGGAAGCCACATGGCTGGGGAGGAGGTTAATGGGTCTGGGGGCAGCCCCCTGGGCTGGGAGTGGGTCCCAGGGGTCAGAGGGGAGCTGGGGGAGCCCCCCGGAGCTGAGGGGAGGCCACAGGGCTGGGGGGAGATTGATGTGGGGCTGGGGCTGTCTCCCGGGGCTGGGGGCAGCCCCCCATGTCGGTCACGGGGGTCCTAGGCAGGGTCCCGGTTGTGTCCCCGCCGTGTCCCCTCTCGGTTTCGGGGGGTCCCGGCTGTGTCCCCGCCGTGTCCCCTCTCGGTTTCGGGGGGTCCCGGCTGTGTCCCCGCCGTGTCCCCTCTCGGTTTCGGGGGGTCCCGGCTGTGTCCCCGCCGTGTCCCCTCTCGGTTTCGGGCGGTCCCGGCTGTGTCCCCGCCGTGTCCCCTCTCGGTTTCGGGGGGTCCCGGCTGTGTCCCCGCCGTGTCCCCTCAGAGCCGCCGTCCGGCCCCGCCCGCCGCTCGCCCGGCCCGGGGCGGGTCCGGGAGGAGCCGCCGCCATTTCGGTGCCTGAGCGAGAGGGGCCGGCAAAACCAGGGAGGGGAAAC